GATTATAATTGCTTATGCAATTTTTGCATCATCTTCTTGTCCTCATAATAGCATATAATAATGGCTTAAATATAACATTATTTCTCATGGAAAATAATTTAGTTATTGTAGCTCTTGGAAACAAAAAATATATTTTCGATAACATTTTTCACATAATTTGTCTGTGAAAAGGCAATTCACCGTTGAGAAACGTGTCTAAAAAAATGTATGCATGAAAAAAACCACTATAAGTCATACTGTTTTCAATGGGTAATCAACACATTTTTTTCTTTGACGGTACTTTCTCTCTTTTTCATTGTATTTGTTCAATTAAATGTCAACATTTTTATTGAAATGAGTTTCGAACATGTGACCTCTTTTGTGGGAATGTTATAGCAATGTGTTGGAAGCACAAGTTATTTGGCCAAATGTTAGTAGAAAAATCTAACATGCGACCTCCTTCACTGTGCCCAAACCAAAAGTTAATGTGGGACGGAAAATCTGACTCAAAATAGTGAAAATTCGAAATTAGTAGCAGTCTTGCAGATTAAAATTCAATGACTACTATTTATTATTGATTGCACCTTTCTGTTTAAATTAAAATATTCCTTAAAAACTAAAGTGTTTGTTTACACTTAATGTATAACAGAGTGATGCATATCAAACAACTGGGTGCTACAACCTCCTATGCTCTGGATTTGTTCAGACAAATAGTAGGATAGCAATTGGTGCTTCAATTTCTCCACTCTCTACTGCTGATGGAAACCAATATGACATCACTATACTCATCTGGAAGGTCATTTTATTCATCAACCTTGCTTCATCTTCACTCCTTGTCCAGATAACTTTTTTTCACTTTGTAAAGAGAAATATGTGTGACACTGACAAAATTTTATCAATGTCACACACAATTCACTTGACAAAATGAAAAAATGTCCATGTATAGACAAAAACTCGGTGTACACAATGCCGTGTACAAGTAGGCGCTTACAAAAAAACAATTTTCTCTCTTGTCTGACCCTTTTCTACTACACTAAACCAAAAAAATCATCCATTGCTGCAGGATCCAAAGCTTGGAAACTGGTGGATGGGGTTCGGGGACAACACGTTAGTGGGCTACTGGCCCGCGGAGCTCTTCACACACTTAGCTGATCGGGCCACAATGGTCGAGTGGGGTGGAGAGGTGGTCAATTCTCGGGCCACGGGCGAGCACACCTCAACCCAAATGGGATCGGGCCGATATGCGGAAGATGGGTTCAAAAAAGCGAGCTATTTTCGGAACTTGGAAGTTGTGGATTCGGATAACGGTTTGACTTCGGTTCGGGACATATCAACACTTGCCGAGAACACCGATTGCTATGATATCAAGAGCTCTTATAGTGAGGAATGGGGAACTTATTTTTATTATGGCGGGCCCGGAAGAGGCCCGAATTGCACTTAAGTTTTAATCAAGTACACGTCTATAATTTGTTTGGGATTTTTCCTTACATATTGTTAATTATATATCAATTGAACAAAAATGTTGTTTTTTGAGGCATAAATGTCACAATGTAGTTAGCTAGCTACATGTTCGTAATCACGTTCATGTGTTGGTAATGGTAATCATCGCGAGTTCCTTATTGCCCATAAATATGTTGTGACATTCATCTAGAAATGGTAAAATAGCATTTTTATCAAATATCCAATTAGTAATAGTAAGGTTATGTTTGGCACAACCAACTATAATTGATGGGTAATGTTTAAATTAGAGACTGTTGAAATATAATTGAATTAGTCATCTTCCAACTATTCCTGATTAGGAATTATTATCACCATTATATAAATAATCAGGAAATCATAATTATGATTCTAGATGATAATTGTGTGGTTCACAATTATCCTCTAATCCTATGAAGCTTAACTTTTCTCCTATAAATAGGAGGCTTCTCCATTGTAATTAACACACTAAGATTACACCATAATCACTCCTTTATCACACTATTAATAATATCTTTATCACCAAGTGTTCATACTATACTTTCTCTCCTTGATCTTCTGCTTATTTCCTTCCATTTTATAACACGTTATCAGCACGAATTTGCTCCAAATCCTTGAAATCATCATCTTCCCAGCAGATATGGAGTTAACTAAAATTTCTCCAAGTGGCTCTGAACAATGTCTAATAGACAGTGCCACAACGCACACCATTTTGAGACATAGAGATTATTTTTCTCATATGACATTAGTTGATGCTAATGTCAATACAATCTCAGGTGTTGCTAAACTCATTGAAGGTTCTGGAATAGCCTGTGTGATTCTCCCAAAAGGGACAAAATTAGTAATTAAAGACGCTTTATACTCCAGTAAATCACGGAGAAATCTTTTGAGCTTTAAAGATTTGCGTCTGAATGGTTTTCATATTGAAACCATGTCTGAAAATCAGAAGGAATATTTATGTCTAACGACAAATAGATCTGGCAATAAATACATTTCTGAAAAAATGCCAGCATATTCCTCGGGACTGTATTATACATATATCAGTCCAATTGAGATAAATGTGGTATCTAAAATTTATGACCACAATTCTTTTATCTTGTGGCATGACCGTTTAGGTCATCCGGGCAGCACTATGATGCACAAAATCATTGAAAATTCACGTGGACATTCATTAACTAATGTCAAGATTCCACAATTAAGTGATTTTACGTGCACTGCCTGTTCTCTTGGCAAATTAATTATCAGGCCATCTTTATACAAAATTGGAGTTGAATCTCCTGCATTTTTAGAAAGAATTCAAGGAGATATTTGTGGGCCAATTACCCCTCCGTGTGGACCGTTTTGATATTTTATGGTGCTCATTGATGCATCAACACGTTGGTCACATGTCAGTCTTTTATCGACTAGAAATTTTGCATTTGCAAATCTCCTTGCTCAAATTATTCGTTTGAGATCACAATTTCCGGATTATTCGATAAAGAAAATCCGACTTGATAATGCAGGAGAATTTACATCCCAATCTTTTAATGACTATTGCTTGTCAATTGGGATTGATGTGGAACATCCAGTTCCACATGTACACACACAAAATGGTCTTGCTGAATCCTTAATTAAGCGATTACAATTAATTGCTAGACCATTATTGATGAAATCCAGATTACCATCATTTGCATGGGGATATGCTATAATGCATGCTGCAAATTTAATTCGGCTTAGGCCAACGGCATATCATAAATTTTCCCCATTACAATTAATATCTGGTAAAGAACCAAATATATCACACCTAAAAATATTTGGTTGTTCTGTGTATGTACCAATTGCTCCACCTTATCGTACTAAAATGGGAATTTATGTTGGTTTTAAATCACCCTCAATTATTAATTATCTAGAACCTATGACCGGTGACTTATTCACCGCGCGGTTCGATGACTGTCATTTTGATGAGACATTATTCCCAGCCTTAGGGGGAGATATTAAAGAAATGGACCCACGTACGAAAGATATTACTTGGAATGCAACAAATTTATCTTTTCTTGATTCTCGCACAAATGCTTGTGAACAAGAAATTCAAAAGATTATTCATTTACAAAATGTTGCAAACCAATTGCCTGATGCTTTCACAGACTCAAAGAAAGTGACAAAGTCACATGTTCCAGCTATGAATGCTCCTTCTCGAATAGAAATTCCTGCGGAGATTAGCGAAAGAACACTTGCTAATGAATCTATGATACGTAAAAAACGTGGTAGACCACTTGGTTCAAGAGATTTGAAACCAAGAAAATTTAAACAGCAAGTTGTAGTTTGTGATGCCAAAGAAGTTCAACCTTCTCAAGAAGAAAATGAACATTTTGAAAATATCGGCCTTGAAGATAACATCAACAATAATGATACCTCAAAAGAGGATCCAATCACCTTCGAAGAGGTAAATATTCCAGATAAAGATAGAAACGTCGATAATTTTGAAATTTCAATTAATTACGTTTCTAATGGAATACAATGGAATAGAAATGATATTGATGTTAATGATATATTTTCATATGCCATCGCCACAGATATAATGAATGAACACGATGACAATGAGCCTAAATCTATTGACGAATGTCGTCGTAGAAATGATTGGCCAAAATGGAATGAAGCAATTCAGGTAGAATTAAAATCGCTAGAAAAGCGTAATGTTTTTGGACCAATTGTCCATACGCCAAAAGGCGTAAAACCTGTCGGTTTTAAATGGGTTTTTGTGCGTAAACGCAACGAGAAAAATGAAATCGTTAGATACAAAGCCCAACTTGTTGCCCAAGGTTTTTCTCAAATGCCAGGAATCGATTATGATGAGACGTATTCTCCAGTAGTTGATGCTACAACTTTAAGATTTTTAATTGGCATGTCTGTTTTTGAAAGGCTGCAAATGCGCCTAATGGATGTGGTGACCGCATATTTATACGGTTCACTCGATACAGACATATATATGAGAATTCCTGGAGGCTTTAAAATACCTGATGCTTATAGCTCGAAATCTCGAGATTTATTTTCCATAAAATTGCAAAAGTCATTATATGGATTAAAACAATCTGGACGCATGTGGTATAACCGTCTCAGTGAATATTTGATTAAAGAAGGGTATAAAAATGATCCTATTAGTCCATGTGTTTTCATTCAGCGATCCGAATTAGGATTCGCCATAATTGCAGTATATGTTGATGATTTGAATATAATCGGAACTCCTAATGAAATTGAAAATACTGCAAAATATCTCATGAAAGAATTTGAAATGAAAGACCTTGGGAGAACAAAATTTTGTCTCGGCATTCAAATTGAACATTTGAGAAATGGTATTTTCATCCACCAATCAAATTATACCGAGAAACTTTTGAAGCGATTTTACATGGATAAAGCACATCCGCTCAATTCTCCAATGGTGGTTCGATCTCTCAATGTGAATGATGATCCTTTCCGACCTTGTGAAGATGATGAAGAAATCCTTGGTCCCGAAATACCATATTTGAGTGCTATTAGAGCATTAATGTATTTGGCTAATAATACTCGACCAGATATTGCTTTTTCTGTAAATTTATTAGCCAGGTACAGTTCTTCCCCAACAAGAAGGCATTGGAATGGTGTCAAACATATATTCCGATATCTCAATGGTACAATCGATCTTGGATTGTATTTCAAGAATGGTGCAAATGCCACTTTAATTGGCTACGCGGATGCAGGATACTTGTCTGATCCACAAAAGGCAAAATCACAAACAGGATATTTATTCACCTATGGTGATACCGCTATATCATGGAGATCAATGAAGCAAACATTAACTGCAACATCATCCAATCATGCGGAATTAATTGCTCTTTATGAAGCAGGTCGTGAGTGTGTCTGGTTGAGATCAATGATCCAGCACATACAAAATGAATGCGGTATAAAATCTTTTACTTCTAATCCTACTGTGATTTATGAAGATAATACATCATGTATAGCTCAGATCAAAGGAGGTTACATCAAAGGGGACAGAACAAAGCATATAGCACCAAAACTTTTCTCCACACATGATCTTGAGAAAGACGGAACGGTTGATGTCAAACAAATCAAGTCATGCGACAACCCTGCTAATTTGTTCACAAAGTCATTGGCACCGAAGAAATTTGAAGAACTGGTCCATAAAATTGGAATGTATCGTCTTCGAGATATATGTTAAATTGAGGGGGAGTAATATAATGCACTGCACTCTTTTTCCCTTCGTCAGGTTTTTATCCCACTGGGTTTTTCTTGACAAAGGTTTTTAACGAGACAGTACATTATAATACTATGAATCTAATACCCCAGAATAATTAGAAGATGACCATTCATGGGGGAGTGTTGAAATATAATTGAATTAGTCATCTTCCAACTATTCCTGATTAGGAATTATTATCACCATTATATAAATAATCAGGAAATCATAATTATGATTCTAGATGATAATTGTGTGGTTCACAATTATCCTCTAATCCTATGAAGCTTAACTTTTCTCCTATAAATAGGAGGCTTCTCCATTGTAATTAACACACTAAGATTACACCATAATCACTTCTTTATCACACTATTAATAATATCTTTATCACCAAGTGTTCATACTATACTTTCTCTCCTTGATCTTCTGCTTATTTCCTTCCATTTTATAACAGAGACTATTTTCTGATTTAAAGGTTATTGTTTGAAGTTAAACTCTACATAGCTCGATATAAAAGTTATTGTTTTATACACACACCTGTGAACGAATCGGAACTAATGAAGATGGTGAAAATGTACGGATTATGCGGTTTTATTATCTTTAAGTTTATATGAAATACTCAGTATTATCCCATTTGGGTTTTAAGGTTGACATGTTAGTTTCTTATTTCATTTTCATTTTCACTTAATGAAGTAGATTTGTTTAGTTAAAAGAGTTAGAATGAATTTTGAGAAAGCACTGACTAACATTAAAGGACATAAATTTCTATTAAAAAAGATAAAATATTTTATAATGTTATAGATATATGATTATATATAATTAATTATTTTATTCAAGAAATTAAAATGCTGGGATTCGCATTTGTTATTTAGCCATCGTATGTTCACCTTGGTAGCATCCAAAACTCCAAAAGCAGCAATGCATATGTAGTAAATTAAAAGTTAATACATACTTTTTTTATCACCGAACCGAAAGCTTATATTAAAAGATCATTCGCTAATTGGCTATGAATACAATTCGGAATACTATCATAATTAACACTATGATTTGAGAGAGTAACGTGTGACCGTGCCAAAGTATGAGCCACAGTATTCGCAGATCTTCTACAGTTCTACAAAAAGAGACTCCAAAGTTACTCTTTGTTTCCACAAGCCTTCGAATATCATCAACAATTAGATCCACATAAGACACTCCTCGTGTTTTACGCTTAACATTCTCAGCCACCCTCAATGAATCTGTCTCTATCTCAACCTGCTGCCAACCTACCTCAATAGCACTCAAAATAGCGTCTCTAACACTCATAGCTTCTGTCTCTTCCACCGACCAATCCACCCTTCTTGACACACCTCGGGCCTGAATAAAACTACCATTTTCATCTCTAACCACCCAACCCCAAGCACGTACTCCTCCCGCTTGATTAATAGCACCATCAATATTAATCTTCATCGTACCAGGCTTTGGTTTTCTCCATCTGCTATCTTCCCCACGGGTTCACTGCTACTTTCCTCGGTTTCCAGCAGCCTCATTCGCCACCTGCCATGCGGTCATCATGTTCATAGCTACGTTAATAACTTCAGATGCTTCCATCTCCTTTCCTTCCCACACGGTTCCATTGCGCCTCTTCCATAAACTCCAAACTAGCGCCAGAAAAAAGCTGCACTTCTCCCGAGTTTGCTTGGTAATGTGATCCTGAAACCATTCATCAAACTCGCTCTCCTGGGCGTCCATGCTTATACCCGCCTTCTCCCAAACCTCCATCACCTTCGGGCAAACACGCAAAGCATGGTTCGTATCTTCATCCGCAGCACCACATAATTTGCAACCCCCCAAAATATTGACTCCTCGCCGGCGTAGATTGTGCACCGTAGGTAAAGAACCATCCACTATTTGCCATGCTAAATATTTAAATTTTGGAGGAGCTTGTATATCCCATAATTTTCCCCAACCGTTCCACTCACTCGTTTGATTCCCCATCAAAATTCTATAGCAACTCTTGACTGAATAAATGCCATTCCGTTCACCAGTCCACCAGTAACCATCATTCCTATCAACCAAACTGGTGGGTATACTCAGAATTCTGCTTCTATCTTCCTGGTTAAACCAGTTATTAATTCTATCATACTGTTCCGGAGAGCAGCCACATACTTTTTTTTTATCATCGAGCAGCCACATACTTAATAAAACCACATTAATTAAAAAGTTGAATAATTAATTAGGTAGCTAGCTAGCTAGCAGGGCCGTCTATGAGGGGTTGTACAAACTATGCCTTTACATAGAGCCACCAAAAACTAGGCCTATTTTTTAAATACGGTATATGTATGCATATATTAATACTCCGTATTAATTATTTAGTGTATAAGTGTATGAGTAAATACTCCGTATATAGAAGCCTAAAACAGGCTGCATATAATAATAACCTAAGAGTCCCAAGTCCCGATCTAATGCCCTAATGCTATTCAAGTTAGCACTGAAATACTTTAGTTTCCTACCTTCACAAACTTTGGTAAAATCATGAATTATTTTTTCTTCTCTTATTTTTCATGATTTCAGTTCTTTTCATTTCAAGTTTTAATGTCTTAATTCAGTGACTTTTTTAATTGTTAAAATCCCAAAAAATCAAAACATACTTCAGAGTTAAGAGTTGGTGTATGTTTTCAAGTATATTTTGTTGTCTATTATGTTAAAATCCCCAAAAATCAAAATATATTTCAGGACGACAGGACGTTGGTGTCTATTTTGTTGTTAGTTTTACATGTTTTTTCTTACTTTATTATTGTGCAATATATTAATTTAATTCTTTTCCCAGAAAATTTACATGTTATTGGGGCGGCCCTGGGGTAAGGGCCATTAGCCCAAATAAATTAGCCCAGATTTTACCCTTTATAACAGGTTGAGTAGGCGTAGTTTTCAACTCTAATTATTCATTGTGACCGGCCCAAGCCCCAATTCATTTCTAGTCTATTTTGCTCATACTTTTATGGTAAAGAAGCTGTTAAAATGCGCAAATTATACCGTACGACCGGTATACCATGCTCATGGTATACCGGTACCCAGAACGGCATCGTTTCCTGTTCTTCTTTAGCCGGCTGCTATTCTTCTCCTTCACGGCTTTCTTTTTTTTTTCGCCATCCTCCAACGCACTAATTCCTTCCCCGGCCAATTGTTGTTGTTTATCTTATCTAGCTTCTTAATTACTTTTTGAAATCATGATTCGTATGTTATTATCACAGAGCAAAACGCTTCCACCGATCGACTTTCCCTGCTTTCCCTTCGATCAATTTCTATTGCAATTCTTCCTTATTTCCCTTCTTCTTTTTCTTTTGTATTCTTCTTCAAATGTATTAATTTCCTTTATTTATTAAAATATGAAAAACCCCTATAAATTATTTTAGACCTTACTCAACTTACATCTTGCGCGCACTCAAGTTACATCAGGATTTGCTTAAGTTACATATCTTATACCGTGAGTTACATATCAACTTTTCTTAGCAAGTTACATCCTGTTTACATTTGAGTTACATTTTCCAAAACATGTGTTACATCAGAATATAATGCGAGTTACACAACCCAATAAGCCCATGCTATTCAAATAAAAACTTTTTTTATAAAAAAAAAAATCATTTTTATAACCTTGATATTAAAAACAAAACATATATGCTCTTTATATGTAACATAATTGGACAATTAGACTCTTTATTTTCATTGAAATCAAATTTTATTTCTTATACTATGTATTTGACAAGTTACATTTCGACTGGACTTGAGTTACATTTATCAATAACGTGAGTTACATTTCATTACACACGAGCTACATCACATTCTATTCCTGAACAATGAAAAACAAAAAAAAAATATTGTTCACACGGGTGAACAGTAACACGCAAATTTTTAAGTTGGAGCATCATGTTTCAAACGACGCCGTTTTGGGCACATGAGCATAATACTCATGTTGCACCGGTTGCAGCGTATACGCACTGTTAAAATGCATACGTATCTTACTTTTCAATTTTCATGGTACGGAATTACGGATATGATCTTTGATAAAAAGGTGATTGTGACGTAGGAGTAAATAAAATATTTCATGTGGGCTGGCTTTTGATAAATGGTCTTTACGATTATAAATGCTTTGCAGTTTTTTTTTTAATCAAAATGCTTTGCAGGTATAAATAAATGGGACGTGTACAAGTTGGCATGTACAAACAACAATTTTCTTTCCCGTCTGACCCTTTTCTACTTCACTAAACCAAAAAAGTCATCCATTTGCAGGACCCAAAGCTTGGAAATTGGTGGATGGGGTTCGGGGACAACACGTTAGTGGGCTACTGGCCCGCAGAGCTCTTCACGCACTTAGCTGATCGGGCCACAATGGTCGAGTGGGGAGGAGAAGTTGTCAATTCCCGGGCCACGGGCGAGCACACCTCAACCCAAATGGGATCGGGACGATATGCGGAAGACAGGTTCAAAAAAGCGAGCTATTTTCGGAACTTGGAAGTTGTGGATTCGGATAACGGTTTGACTTCGGTTCGGTACGTACATATCCACACTTGCCGAGAACACCGACTGTTATGATATTCAAGAGCTCTTATAATGAGGAATGGGGAACTTATTTTTATTATGGCGGGCCTGGAAGAGGTCCGAATTGCACTTAAGTTTTAATCAAGTACACGTCTATAATTTGTTTGGGATTTTTCCTTACATATTGTTAATTATATATCAATTGAACAAAAATGTTCTTTTTTGAGGCATAAATGTCACAATGTAGTTAGCTAGCTACATGTTCGTAATTACGTTCATGTGTTGGTAAAATCATGGCGAGTTCCTTATTGCCCATAAATATGTTGTGACATTCATCTCAAAATGGTAAACTAATACTCCCTCCGTAACTTAAAAATCTTCCC